GTCTCGAAAAGCAAAGCGGGGCAGCCCCGGGGCATCCGGGGAAGCAACCAACCGAGCGCGTTGCAACAGACGAAACCTAGACTGCAACGCACGTGCCGCCTGTACCCGAATAGAATCATCAGAGGATTGGGTAAATTGAGTCACAAGCAAGCAGCAACACTCACAGGACTCAGGGTCGAAAGTATCACCGACCCAACAGGCAGCGTGGCAGAGGCAAAAACAATGAGGGTCACCCTGAGACAAGGGGACCGAGCAACCCTCAAACTCGCACACAGCGAGTGGGGACTCCGGGGTCACATCCATCGGACCCACGCGCCCCCTAGGGGATTCCCAGGGTCCTGAGCGTTTACTTTAAGAGGACTCGCGCTCAGGTAGTCCCAGGCAGGGTGCTGCAAACCGGCGCCCAAAACTACCAAGCAAACTTCTAAAGCTGAACCCCAGAGACGTGTACACTCACGGGGACCTAGCAGGGGGCGCCACCGAGGAGAACAGTGGAAGGGCAAAAACTGAATAAAATGACAGAACCCCCCACCAGGCAAAAACAAAAAGAAAAACAAAACCCCGCAAGAGGACAGCGAACCCCAAGGAACAGAGCCGGCCGCGATGTCGGGAAATACAAGCTGAGCAGCACCCTGCGCCCCTACCAGTGCAAACTGCCTCTTACCTGCCGGTAACAAGGGAGAACAGAACACCCAAGAGCCCAACAGGCGGCTGAAAAACCGAAAGGTAAAACGGACCAGCAGAGGCAGACCCCGAGGAGCCTGTGGAAGGCGGTCCCAAGCCCCAAGGGCAGTACTTACAGGGCACCTAGGGAAGGCAGCCCTAGGCGCATGCAGCCCGAGTACTGAAGATAACTCCTGGCTCTCGCACCCACAAAACTAACACCACACTCAAAGCACAGTGCAGTAGCGACACCGGAGCCAGAGCACACGACCATCGCCTATAGCATCAGCCTCAAGAACTGAGGTGTGGGTAGCCGACGCGGGGGGTCTGGGGCTCCCCCTTCCCCCTCCCGGGGATGGGGGGAGCTGCGCAGACAGCGGCGCGGCAGTGTGTGACGTCACACTAATTTGCTTGTTTTCGGTTGGTGAGTTCTATCCACTAGTTCGGTATTAGGTAGCAATTTTAACCAGAATAGGGGTTTGTTTTGGGGCGCTTACCTTTCTGGGTGCCTGTTCCGGTCGATGGCAGACATAGAATGCTTCCAACTACACGGGGGCTTCTATAGGCCATTGCTCCCCTTGCCTCTCTGAGGGGGCCCGGTTCTGGCCGTGGTCCCCGGTAGGCCTAAGAACTCCATACACATGACTGATGCCAAAGTCTGACATTAGCATATCAGCCTGGGATAGCTCCGGGGAGCCGACGGGGCTCCCCCCAGAAAAGTTATTTAAAAAAATATTTCACTAATGGCGTGGCACTGGTATAACACGAGGGTCAATAGTGCATGGGCTGTATAGCTTGACCAGGTGTGGATGGGGTCCACTTGAGGCAGGCAGGCCCATTACATAGGCCGCAAGGCGGAAAAAACTTCCAATATTTTTGGAGCAAACTTCAGCCTGTGGAAATTGTTTTTTGGAAACTTGTATATTTGTTATAACACAGTACTATATATTACTATTTCTTTTGTTTTTGACTGTGATGAATTTTTCTAAAATTATTGGTAATTACTGTACTGTATAGGCCCCTCCCCACATGCCCCTTATTCCCAAGACAGTCCCTCACAACGCTCCCCTCTCCCCCAACACCACCCACTCACCCACACCCCGTCCTACATCACAAGCCTCAAGTCACAGCCGTACGGGATTAATGCAGTACGGCCCAATGCCTGCCTTTCTGATCCAGAATAATCTCTGCTTGTCCGGTTCACTGTCCGGATTGGGCAACATCGGTAGCAAGTTAACTGGCTCAGAGTTCAAGTCTAACAGTATACGCTGATCCGGCCCAATATCTTCTAGTCCAGCTTCTATGGACATTTTGGCCGGATAGGGAGATAATTTTATCTGGTCACGATTTTGGCCAGATTAGAGCGTTTTCCAGATTGGCAGATTCTGGATTAGCCAGCTTCTACAGTATATCATAATTGCAATCGACCAGTAATGGACCCAAAAAGGAGGTGAATCAAAACAGACCACTGTCTGGTTAACCTGTAAATCTACATCCTAAAAGGAGCAAAATAACTTCATAGAAAGAAATCAAACAAGCAACTCTTCTCGCAACTAGCACTCCCACTCGTTAGTACTACCCCTCCCCCTCTTTGGGGGCGGAACCGGCAGCCCACCACCCCAGTTCTTGAATGAAGAAAACTGCCAACCGGAGGGAGTGAGTCAGGGAGCCTCCAGGGCTCACCCAGAAAATGGTGTTTCATTACATTCAACGCTTGTTTTCTGCGGGGAGCTCTGTTGGCTTCCTGAAGCTACATAACTACCAAAAGATAAGTAAAAGCAAGGACTTACCCGGGAGGTAGCAGCACCACAGGTCTCAAGATGAGGAAGAAACAGACGGCCGTGACAGGCAGCCCAAGACCACGCAAAGCCGTGAAGGAACCGGAACAGCCATGAGATACCTGGCTGCCAGGACCCTGTGCAACCTCCAAAACCCCTGCGCCCAAATGTCAATCCAAGATATGTTGGTAAAAACTGCCACGGCAGCAGCATACTCGTGTTGCAAACATCATGGGCACGATGGTAAACTACAGGCTGGCTACATTTAATGACACTGAACAACCTGAGATACACAAGCCCTGGAACAGGGAACCAGGGAAATCGAATCCACCCAGAGAGCCTCAACCAACACAGAACTAGTGTCTCGCAGGTAGTGGCGTAAAGCTGCCACCGGACACAACACATGATGTACCCCTGGCCTAAACAACCTAGCATCCACAACCAATGCACTCCTCCGGTAGCCTGCAGTCTCATTCTGTGCCAGAAAAGAAGAAGGCTGCAAACGAACAAAACGACCCCCTGGACCAAACGAACAGAACTCCTGGCGGCTTAAAAGAGCATGAAGCTCCTCTACTCGACCCCCAGAGGCCAAGGCCAACAAAAACAAGGCCTTCCAAAAGCAACCACAAACCAAAGGGGCCACCACAAAGGAAGGAGAAGAATGAAAGGAAAGAACCCAGTCCAAAGAGCAAGAAGGCTCAGGTGGTGCATGAGCAGGCCTGAAGTTAAAAAATGCACGAGAGAGCTTGCAGAATGGAGCGGAAGTGACATCCACCCTAAACACAAGCTGCAGCTGCTCCGCCACACGATAATAAGTAATAGTATTGGGCATGAGATGCCGATCCAGAAAATTTAAGAAAGAAAAGACAAAACAACCAGGTCCGAATCCTAAGAAAACCAAGGAAGAAAAAGACAGAGATTGCCAGGAAACTCCATACCGTCGCCTAGACGAAGACCGCAGGTGGGGCACCAACAAAGAAGCCACCTGATCACCATACAAGTGGAAATACACACGTGTCAGAAATGCCAGACACATAGTGCAGAGCAGGAAGGCGAACCAGCAAGGTACCTCACCGGCCCGACCTGCTGAAAGAGGCGGAGCCGTGGAAAAATGCACTGGTTCGAACACCGAGCAAGCAGTGCCTTAAACCAAGGCTGGACTGCCGACCATGGAGCCAGGAGAATCACTTTCCTGATAGGAATCCAGCCGAACCAGAACCCAGAGTGACAGCTGGACCAGCGAAGGAAGTACAGGAACCCCCACCTTGACAAGTCCTGCCAAAAAGCATGTACTGTGAGAGGGACTAGCATTCGGGGAACTTTGCCACGTTCAATGGGAGACACCGAGACCACGCCAACGCAAAGAGATCTACCTCCGGTGGGGGAAGGGGTCCACGTCCAAAAAAGCCAAAGGAAAGAGGCGGCATTGACTGCAGAAAAGTTCGTAAATAGGGGCTTTCGCAAGCCGAGGTGTCACGGTACTACAAATAATCACTAGAAGACCCTAAACACCTTACCTAACCAATACAAATTATGCTAACATATAACAATATTAATTTATATTTGAGAAAATCCCTATTCTGAATGAACAGCATATTAAAATTGATGAATGCGTCTTTGGGGTCAACCGCTGGATGGAATGGACTTGAATAGAGGACAGGTTGCTGACCAACTGGAAAAGGTTAGTTCATCCATGTCAATGTTTGCAGATAATGTTAAATTGATTTGAAAAGAAAGAACCAAACAGGACTGCATGATGCTACAGGACGGCATAGGCTGTAGGAATGACCAGACAAGTGGATATTGGAGTTTAATCCCAGAAAATATAAGGGGGTTTGGCAGAGCTTAGAGGAGACTAAAGGCCAGTATAGTTTATGAGAGAGGCATTTACAAGTCAACAGGAAAAAAGAACCTGAATGAGGATGTAACACCTTGACAGCAGAAGCTGTCTTAATTAAAAAAATATTCAGCTGCACGGTTAAACATAACGACGGCTTTCAAGAACCTAACGAAGGAATCCTTAAAGATATTACATACATGCATACAAAATCAAAATCAGTCCCAGAGCCCACAAATGACAAAAGCATAAAAATAAATTTGTGAAGTTTCAAAGATTTGCCACAAGACTGGTATCCATGATAAGAGAAATTGAAGACAGGTTAAGTAAACTACTAAATAATGATTGCAAGAGAAGGATGAAGAAATATGACCACAATAAATGTTACTATAGGGAACAGAGAAAGTGGACAGTGTTTATCAGGTAAGGAACAACAGAATGAGGGAAAGAAAATGTAGAAGCTGAAAACACAAATGATCAGTGAAATGTAAGGAAACATTTGTATTCAATGAGAGTGGTAAACAAGTGAAATAAGCTTGGATCAGTGGTGACAGAAGTAACCAATAATGACAGCTTCATAATAAGTATGATGAATTACTGGATCTTTTAAGATATAATTTCATAGGAAATAATAGCCATGAGGTGAGGCTTCAGAGTTGAATCTTGCTTTCTGTACACATGTCTAGGCAAACACAACTTGGTAGGTACCACAAAACACTTACCTAGCAAAAGTTTGCCAATAAAGGCAACCTGGTTACCCTGAATAAGAACCTGAGTAGTTCCTTGAGGCTTATGTTCCGCAGGTCCAACACTTGTGCTGGCAGCAACACCAACCTGGATCTGGTGGGCAAACTCTGCCTCATCAATGCCATATAAACTGGCATTGTACACCAATGTCACCTGCAAAGTAGACTCAATTACAATCTTATTTATACCGAACTTACAAGTTATGCTCAGCATATTTGACGGCATTGAGAAACCTGTTACAGAGCACCACTTGGTTTCCGAACCCCTTGGAGACGAGGCCCGTCGGTTAACATGTAAGTTCGTAAACGAGAAATAGAGGTGAAAAAATAAACTAGAAATGTAAAAAGAAATTTTTCTGAAAAATTTATAAAAAAAAACTCCAGGGGAAAAAATCGACAGGTTCATAGCATAAATGCAACTTTATTTTGTTTGTACTCACCAATAAGTGAAGTCCTGATCCGCTTTATAAAAGTCCTTAATTGTTCCTAACTGATTATTAAGACGTCTGGCAAACATCCTCTGGATGTTTCCTGCCAGCCTGCAGGAACATCCTGCTAGCCTGCAGGCACATCCTGCCAAAAATATACGATGATGTACTGTACATTTAAGAAACAAATCTGGGTCACAGGTCTGTGGAGTGTGGCTAGGCTTACGGAGTCAGCCGGTCCCTCCCCCACCACCGACACACCTCCCCCACCCCAAACCCATACACACACACACACACACTCTCAAAGGTCACGTGGTTCACGGTTCACTTCAACACCCATATATCGCTTCCTGCCTGCCTCCTTCCCAGCCTGCCTGCCTGCCTCCTTCCCAGCCTGCCTGCCTGCCTCCTTCCCAGCCTGCCTGCCTGCCTCCTTCCCAGCCTGCCTGCCTGCCTCCTTCCCAGCCTGCCTGCCTGCCTCCTTCCCAGCCTGCCTGCCTGCCTCCTTCCCAGCCTGCCTGCCTGCCTCCTTCCCAGCCTGCCTGCCAGCCAGCCAGCCAGCCTGCCAGCCAGCCAGCCTGCCTGCCTGCCAGCCTGCCTGCCAGCCTGCCAGCCTGCCAGCCAGCCAGCCTGCCTGCCAGCCTGCCAGCCTGCCTGCCAGCCTGCCTGCCTGCCAGCCTACCAGCCTACCAGCCTGCCAGCTGGCAAAGAATTTTTGGCAAAGAATTATAGACCAGTTGCACTAACATCGCACATCATAAAAGTATTTGAGAGAGTGATTAGGAGTCAGGTCACCAATTTCATGGAGACCAATGACCTTCACAACCCAGGCCAACATGGATTTCGAGTGGGAAGATCGTGCCTCTCACAGCTACTTGAGCACTACGACAAAGTCACTGAGGCATTAGAAGAAAAACAGAATGCTGATGTGATATACACGGACTTCGCAAAGGCTTTCGATAAATGTGACCATGGCGTGATAGCACACAAAATGAAGTCAATGGGAATAACCGGTAAAGTAGGACGCTGGATACTCAGTTTTCTGTCAAACAGGACTCAGCGAGTAACGGTCAACCATATAAAATCTAGTCCAAGTGCAGTTAAAAGCTCCGTACCTCAGGGGTACAGTCCTTGCACCGCTGCTTTTCCTTATTCTCGTATCAGATATAGACAAAAATACAAGTCACAGCTTCGTATCATCCTTTGCAGATGACACAAAAATCAGTATGAAAATTACCTCGGCTGAAGACATTGAAAAACTTCAAGCTGATATTAATAAAGTTTTCGACTGGGCATCAGAAAATAACATGATGTTTAACAGTGATAAATTCCAGGTACTCAGGTACGGTAAAAATGAGGACCTTAACCACTGCACTGCGCAAAGCGCCTTTAGGCGCTCAGAGAGTTGTGCTTTTTGTTGTTTAATTTGGCTATATTTTAATGTTTTTTAATGTTTTCATTACTATTTGTGTTTTGAAATGGAAATAGTTGACTTTGGAAACATTTTGAAATTAAATTTACCTGAACATTTGTAAAAATAACAAAAATATGTCCTTGACAATTGCACCAAGACGTTTTTGCCGAAAATAGGTGAGCAGTGCAAGGGTTAAACATAATACAGAGTACAAAACACAATCAAATGTACCCATAGTAGGAAAACAGCATGTAAAGGATTTGGGAATAATAATGTCTGACGACCTAACGTTTAAGGAGCATAACCAAGCAAATATTGCGACAGCCAGAAAAATGATAGGATGGATTACGAGAACTTTCAAATCCAGGGATCCCATCACAATGGTTGTACTCATCAAGTCACTTGTGTTGTCCCGTCTTGAGTACTGCTCAGTACTCACTTCCCCCTTCAGAGCAGGAGAGATTGCTGAAATAGAGGGAATACAGAGAACATATACGGCACGCATAGACGCAATAAAGCACCTAAATTATTGGGATCGTCTCAAAGCCCTCCAAATGTACTCACTAGAAAGAAGACGAGAGAGATATCAAATAATATACACCTGGAAGATACTGGAGGGCCAAGTGCCAAATCTACAAAGTAAAATAACAACGTACTGGAGTGAACGATATGGAAGAAAATGCAGAATAGAACCAGTGAAGAGCAGAGGTGCAATTGGCACAATCAGAGAACACTGTATAAACATCAGAGGTCCGCGGTTGTTCAACGTCCTCCCAGCAAGCATAAGAAATATTGCCGGAACAACCGTGGGCATTTTCAAGAGGAAACTAGATTTATTCCTCCAAGGAGTGCCGGACCAACCGGGCTGTGGTGGGTATGTGGACCTGCGGGCCGCTCCAAGCAACAGCCTAGTGGACCAAACTCTCACAAGTCAAGCCTGGCCTCGGGCCGGGCTTGGGGAGTAGAAGAACTCCCAGAACCCCATCAACCAGGTATCAACCTGGTATCAACCAGCCAACCAGCCAGCCTGCCAGCCAGCCAGCCTGCCAGCCTGCCAGCCTGCCAGCCTGCCAGCCGGCCAGCCAGCCAGCCTGCCAGCCAGCCAGCCAGCCAGCCTGCCAGCCAGCCAGCCAGCCAGCCTGCCAGCCAGCCAGCCTGCCTGCCAGCCTGCCAGCCTGCCAGCCAGCCAGCCAGCCTGCCAGCCAGCCAGCCAGCCAGCCAGCCTCCCTCCCTCCCTACCAGCCAGCCTGCCTCCCTCCCTCCCTCCCTGCCAGCCTGCCTTCCAGCCAGACTGTCTCCCTGCCATCATGCTAATGGGTAGAGTGTGTTAGGCTTATCTTCGGGAATGAGCCGGTCTCGCCCCCACCACCGACAAACCACCCGCCCCCCTACATCCCATACTCTCTTTTAAAGGTCATGCGGTTCAACCGCGTGACTACCACTTACTCCCTGCCTGCCTGCCTGCTTGCCAGCTAGCCTGCCTGCCAGCCTGCTTGCCAGCTAGCCTGCCTGCCTGCCTGCCTGCCTGCCTGCCTGCCTGCCTGCCTGCCAGCCAGCCAGCCAGCCAGCCAGCCAGCCAGCCAGCCAGCCAGCCAGCCAGCCAGCCAGCCAGCCTGCCAGCCTGTGCCTGCCAGCCTGCCTTTTTCCTCCCTAATTCTCATTACTTCCATCCCTTCCTGCCTACCTCCTAGCATCTCTCCCTACCTCCCCCTCCCTCCTAGCATCTCTCTCTCCCTCCCTTTCTGACTAATTCTCCCCCTCTCTCACTGATTCTCTCCCCCTCTCTCATACTGCCTCCCACCTAAGCTTCCCCATCCATCCACCCACCGGTCAGCCATCACTGACGCAATGCGTGCATTTGGAGCGGACATGGTGCACAGATGTTTCTTGATTGTGCAGATATGTAAAACAAAAGCACAGAATGAACATTCCAGCCTTATGGCAATTCAAAATAATAGGAATAATAGGCCGTGAACCTGTGAAGTCACAGTGGGCAAACTGGACCATCTCCCACCCACCACCACAAGCCGGCGTGACGCTTGGCGGACCCCTTCCTACCCGAACTTTGTTCAGGTAGCATGACTCCCCAATCCCAATCAGGAAACTGGAAGTTTCGGATAACTAAAGTTCGGAAACCAAGTGGTGCTCTGTACATCAGGCAAACACTGTATTTATCTTTAGGTTTCCACACATGCATACATCACACACACATGTATACATTTAGATTGTTTTTTTTACTGAACTTTTCTGACATTTTTTAAATGGAGATGCCATTTACATACAGGCAATCCCTAACTTATGAACGAGGTGCGTTCCAAAAGATGTTCGTAAGTCAGCTGTTCACAAATCAAAACTAGATTTCTCAGACACAATGGAGGATGTCTTCCTGAACCCCCAAAATCAAAGAAACCCAAACTTCTGACAAAACTTATGTAAGACTTATTTACCTTCAATGATAAAATTGTTCAGCTTGTCTGATTTGATGCTTCTTGAAGAGCAAAAATATATAATTTGTAAAGAAAGGGGTAGTAAAGGGTGATGATGCATAGGCACTTGTGCACCACTAAATGATTTTCTCTATTTAAAAACAATTATCAAAGAACTTTTCCTCTATAAAAAAAATAAATAGTTATTTAGTGGTACTATTCATGTTTGAACTTTAGTATGGCAGGACAAGGAGGGAGCTAAAATGGGGATTTTGAAACTTTTCCTTGGTCTAGTGATTTTTGAATAGCTGGGTGGAAAATAATGAAAAATTCTCATGTGGAATTGACCGAGTGTACTTCCCTATACAGTACAACCTCGATTCAACGTACCCAGATTCAACGAATCGTGCACACATTTCTTTTTAAAAAATTTGTAAAAAATCCATTTCATAATTATTAACCCTTTAACTGCGCAACGCGCCTGCAGGCCCAGGCTTCGGGTGCGCAACTACGCCTACGGGTGTTTTTATTTTTCACATTCCATTCAAAACTCCTGTGGCTACATGGGGTTCACATCAGCTTCCTCAGGGCTCTTGTAAACAGACGCCATCTTTAAAAAAAAATCATGGTCCACATTGCCGGGTGTCAGAGCCTCAGTAGTGAGTGAGCAACCAAGGCTGGTGCTTGCAGCATGAGCGCACAGCACTGCTGTTCAGCATGTGACCACAGCATCGCCTAATATTGTCAAAATATATATATAATCTGTTTTATTTAGCCATGATAGTATTATAGAAGAGCCCGAGTGTGATAATGACTGGGTACAATGTTCAAATATCAGTGATTCAATGCTGTTCACGATGTTCACAGCACTAGCCACTACACCACA